GCACAGGCTCCGAACGCGCAGGCTCAGCGGCCATGGCTCTTGGGCCCAGCCGCTCCGCGGCATGTGGGATCTTCCCGGGGCAGGGCACAAACCTGTGTCCCCTGCATCAGCAGGCAGACTCTCAACCACTGCGCCACCAGGGAAGCCCCAACACTAGATTATTAATGTGGCTTTCTTGTGGGGTGGGGCAGGGAGAAAGTTTAGATACTGATTTGGGAGGAAGAGGTAGAGTGCAGGGGATATATATTGTTGAGTAAAACATGTATGAGATCTCACTTGTATAAAATTGTAGGTTTGTATTCATTAAAAAATAATGAATGGGAATACCCCCTGCAGGCCCTTCCCCATATGACCAAATTAAAAAATCCTACTAACTTCAGCCCTCATTTTAGAGAAGAGTGTGAAGATTTGTCCCAAGTCTTTGATGTTGGAAACAGGATTTGGGCTTTCATCCCTAGACTCTTGAGTCCATTGTACATTCCACCTCACTCATCTTAGATGCTCTAAATGTTTTGCTTTTAATGTATTTTTTTCCTAGTTGGAAATCTACATTTCTGAAGGAACCCACTCAACGGAGGAAGATAGTAAGTGAATTTTGAACCATTATTAGAAAACAGCTTCATATAGTACTTTATATTGGGTATTAGATTATTCTGCCAGCCAAGTAGCTATTGGGTCATTTGCAAAAAAGAACAAAATCAGCTCTTAGCTTTTCCTAAGCTTTTCCTTAATCAAAGAAATTTTGATTAAACAATCTAAATTAATGGGTTCTTCTTTACTTGTACTTTGTTCAGTTTGTTTTAGGGGACAGTGGTCATTTGAAGTGTAACTAGAGTTAAGCCCTGTGGATATTGACAGGTTTAGGCCAGTGGCCACACATCTGTGAAGAATATCCAGCTCTAGGAACTTTGAATTATAAGCTCTAAAGAGAGCTTGATTCTTTTCTTTGGTGGCAGGATAGAGAGCTGTGTACTTGAAATTGAAATCAAAGGTCCAGCAAGTAAAGCTTTAGGGAATCTTGGGGTAGGTGTTGTCTTCCTGGGTTAATGTATTAAAATGGGAGTAGAGAAGATTTTTTGTATAAAGGATCTCTAGCCTACAGAGAGAAATAAAGTGGCAGCTACTTAAAAATAACAGAGGTAGGATTTAGGAAAAGCAAAAGTGGGATTACAGGGGATTTTTTTCTCTTTAAGTCTCCCCTTCGAAACGTATGAATAATTAGCCAAAACCTGCATTAATTTCTCAAGGAGTTAAATTCTATTTTAACAAGCTAATAAAATTACTGTCTTTTGCTGTGTTTCGACATAGTCCTGCTAACTTTTGCCTGTGTGTTTTGTAGTCAACAAGCAGATAAATGACAAAGAACGAGTGGCAGCTGCGATGGAGAACCCCAACTTACGGGAAATCGTGGAACAGTGTGTCCTTGAACCTGACTAATAGCTGTTTTAGAGCCACTGAACTGGAATCATTTGATATATTTGTTTAAACTCTTTGTAAAATGTAAAAGACTCATGTTTAATATGTAGGTGATTTGTACCTCAGTGCATTTTTTTAAAGGATGATTTCCAAGCAAGATTTAATTATAAGGTAGTACCTAGTTTGTTCAGTGTTTAACATTCTCAGGATTTGTAACACTTAAATGATCGACAGAAAAATATTTTCTAGTAATTATGTGTCAGATGAGTTGCTATTTTTCTGATGCCCATTCTGATACAACTGCTTTTCATGTCAAATATTTACTGTGCCCAGATGTATTCAGTTTAAATCATTACTCTGTAAATAAATAAAACAGAGATGATTCTTGTATACACCTTAGAATGCTTTTATTTAATTGTGAATTTTAGTGTAAATGTTAACACTAAAAGATATTTCCGAAGCTTTATTTTCTGATTATTATGTAGAATCAGAGATAGGAGAACCAAAAAGAACCCTTAATATCAGGCCTGGGCCCTGACTTCCTTCAAGAAGAGTCCTGGACCCATTTATAGATAAGGAACAAATGTGAAGAGGGCCAGGTGACATATATGATTTTGAAGATCAAGAAGTCCCCAAAGAAATTTTGATTAAACAATCTAAATTAATGGGTTCTTCTTTACTTGTACTTGGTTCAGTTTGTTTTAGGGGACAGTGGTCATTTGAAGTGTAACAGGGTATGTTAGGAAGCTTCCGAGGTGCCCCCCCCACAATGATCCTTGATTCCTGATATTCGTGCCCTTGTAGTTTCCTTACATATCGAACCAGAACTGGTTGCCATGACTAAAAAAAGAATCAGAGGTGACAGTGTGTGATTTCTGAGGCTAGATCATAAGAGGTGTTACTGCTTTCACCTTGTGATCACTTGAGTTGCTCGTTCTGCAGGAATCCAGCTGCCATGTCCTAAGAACACTCAGACAGCCCTGTGGACAATTTCACATGGAGAGGAATTGAGGCCTTCCACCAACAACGAGCACCAACTTGCATACCATGTGAGGGAACCATGTTGGAAGCCATTGTGAAGCCTCAGTCAGGCTGACATCTTGACTGGAACCTCACTAGACCCTGAGCCAGAAACCACTCCCTAATTCCTGATGCAGAGAAGCTGTGAGTGATAATTAATGTTTATTGTTTACACCACTAAGTTTTGGTGTAATCTGCCATGCAGCAATAAGTAACTAATACACAAGGTGTTAGAATAGAACTGTTCTGCCTCAAATTTAATTGAGGATTCTAAGGGGAAAGCATGAGAACTTGTTCCATGGCTCTTGAACCCCTTTGTCCACTTCAAGAATATGAGTTTTGAGAGAACAGAGAGGATTTGGTAAGAAGATTGATGAAGAGATTTCTTTGGTTAAAGCTGTTGCTCTGCTGAGTTCCAACCCCCATCTTGGTGGAAGGGTGAGGAAATGACACCTTCTACCACTATCTGCTGAGGGGAATTTCAAGGGGACAACTCAGAGAGTTTGGAAATGTGCCCTCTGCAGTTGAGAGACCCAGAAAAGTGGTGCCTGACTCAGGCCTGAGAAAGCAAGCAGAAGTGGGCTGCAGGCTGGGGCCTGACTCCTGTCCAGGAAATCTAGAGAGAAAGGCAAGGTGAGAGAAAGGCAAGGCTAACTACCTTGATGACAGAGCCCTGGGATGCACAAATGTTTCTCGTGGACCATGCTGTGGGGTCATATTTGACATTGCTCAACAAGCCGTAATAAGCACGGCCAAGGAGACCTCAGAGAAAGGGTCTGGAGGTGTACCGCCTGGTGCCCAGGGACTGAGGAGAGAAGACGGCAAGTGAGCAGCCAGGATGGAGATGCTTCTGCCAGGGTCAAGGGGCACAGCGGGAACGCCTGGTAAGCGTACGGAAGTGCCAACCTAAGAGAAAGGGCCAGCTCTAATCATCAGGCAGAGAGAGCACAAAGCCAAGCAGCTAAGTAAGAACTGTCCCATCTCTGGTTCTCCTCCCTCCCACAGCTCCCGCGGTGGCGAAGTTGAAGAGGGGGAAAGAGGAGAGAGCAGAGGACCCCATCCCATGGCTCCGCTGGAGGTTTCAAGCCTGAAGCAAGCTCAAGTTAGGAACGAGTTGATGCCAAGTTTGTAGTTCTAACTATTAGATGTGACTAGATAATTCAGTGTAATGAGATTGTATGGTTAAAAGTGACAAGATGACTTAATCTGACAGAAATCATGTGTCTGCTCAAGTCTTCACCCAGGGGCAGAGGAAGATCATGCCTTCTCAACAAAGTTTCAAAGGATTAGTGGGGGACAAAAATAAAATCAATTCTTACACAACATACTGGTTATAGAAGTCCTATTAAAACCATCTTGGGGGCCTCCCTGGTGGCGCAGTGGTTAAGAATCCTCTTGCCAATGCAGGGGACGTGGGTTCGAGCCCTGGTCCGGGAAGATCCCACATGTCGCCGAGCAACTAAGCCCGTGCGCCACAACTACTGAGCCTGCACTCTAGAGCCCGCGTGCCACAACTACTGAACGCGCACCCAGAGCCCGTGCTCCACAGCAAGAGAAGCCACCACAATGAGAAGCCCCCGCTTGCCCCAACTAGAGAAAGCCTGCGCGCAGCAACGAAGACCCAACACAGCCAAAAATAAATACATTAAAAATAAATAAATTAAAAAAAAACCCAAAACCATCTTCGCTTCTGCTGAGGCTCTGCACTGTGGGAATATCCCAGCAGAGCTTCATCCCCGTGATCTTCCTCTCTTGAGAAAAACCACTAACATTGTGGCATCGGAGCACCAGCTTTGTGGCAATGTCACTGTCAATTCTTAATCTTTTGCTGTGAAAGCTCTCATTGGCTCCTCTCTTTCTTCCCAGATCTTTAAAAATTGGTTATCCAGCATACATAAATAGATCCAGAAGTAATAAAATATTGCTGATTTTTAGTCATCATTGTAATCACTTCTTTCTAAATTACAAATCCACTGGAAAGGTCCTTAGGACCAGCACTAAGTTTCCCGCTTCATGGAAGTCTGCCATCCAGGGCAAGAGCTAATAGTACCTGGTGAACACCCTGTCCCATATTCTCCCACCCAGTGCACACGTGCACACACAAATGCTTTTTGACCAGCTGTCTGCCTCTAAAAGGTATGACAAGCATCATCTGAGTGGGCTCTGAGGCTCACAGACCAGGGTCAAATACACATTGACCCCCAAGTACTGACCGTTTCTCATCCCTGGAGCCTTATCTAGGGCTTAAAGAGTAGGGCTTCTAATGAAACCCTGATAACATGAAAATCTCATTGCCAGTTTCAGGTGGCTGGAGTCGATTGAAGTCAGAGATCCCTAGTGTATGCTCTTACCAACTCAGGCACTTACTGGTGCTCTCACAAACAGATATTTAGTGAGCACTTTTTAAGTATCAGGCACTATCTTAGGTACTAAGGATACAAAGATGGATCAGCCATTGTCTGTATTCCTTCAGTTCATGCTTACCAACCTCTGCATTCAGCCCCCTCTTCCCTGCAGGCAGTGAGTGATGCAGGCTGTCCCGTCTAGTGTCTGAGCTTGTCCTAGCCAGGCAGACATGGAGGCTAGTCAACCAGAACCAAAGACAAAATCATCCCTTAAGGGACTGTCTGGTGAGGAAACCAGTGATGGTACAACCAGAAATGTGTCACTGCTGCAGGCACCCCCATCCTGCTGGCCCTGCCGCTCTTCGAAGTTAGCTGGAACTGCTGTACTCTCTGCTACTATCAGAACGATATCTCTTCTATCCCTGCTATTTTGTGTGACTCACTCCAGCTGCAAAGTCCTAGATGGAGTCTCTAATGGACTGATCCCAAGTCCCATGTCCATGTCCTGGCTGCCAGGGAGGCAGGAGAAAGGAGTATCTGACCTGTATGAGGAGTCCGTCTATCTCCCAGCAAGACTTAACATGGTAGGAATTGCTCAAATACATCAAGAGGGTTAATGTAGTCTGATAACTAATGTCCACTACATTAATATTATATTTAAATGAGTTTGTACTTTATCAACCATAACAGCATCTACATACAAGTGAAAAATAGAGGTCCATAAATTCACAAAATGTGTTTGCTGGCAGGGTCAGCAAATTTTTTCAGAGAAGGGCCGGATAGTAAAATTTCAAGCGTTGCATCTCTGTTGCAACTATTCAACCCTGCTTTTGTAGCACAAAAAGCAGCCATGACAATATGTAAATGAGCATAGCTGTGTTCCAACAAACATTTATTTATGGACACAGATTTGAATTTCTTATAATTTTTATGTAGTGAAATATTCTTTTGATTTTTTTCAACCACTTAAAAACATAAAAACCATACTTAGCTTGTGGGTTGTACAAAAGCAAGCATTGGGCTGGATTTGGCCTGTGGGTCATTTGCCAGCTCCTGATCTGTAGGGATGATTCTTAACCTTTTTGGAAGGTCTCAGACCTCTTTAAAAATCTTATAAAAGATATGGAATGGACCCTTTCCCTAGAGGAAAGAGGCACTCACATGAAACTTTGCAAGTGATTCCAGCACTTTCATGGATTTGCTAAGGAGTAAATAATCCTGGTCTCTAAATCATGCTAGCTGAGCCCTTGGGCTCCCATTCCTTAAAGAACTCCTCAGAGCCCAGAGGTTCACAGCCTTGGTTGGGACTCACTATCTAGTTAAGTAATCAGAAGCTTTCTCAGCTCCACTGTGGAGCAACTGCTATGTGACCCAAACCGCTGATGTCTCCAGCAGGAGCAGGATACAGTTAACTGTAATTAGGGGAGGACTATCTATTAGGAAGGGGAAGGATTGCTGTAATAGTAGCCTTGCATTCATAGCCCAGTTGGTGTCCCTCATATGTTAATACAATGACAGAAAACAAGCCAGTGAACCGTGAGGGATGAACCTCATCACTGACACAGCACTACTAGAAACAACTCTATTTTTTAAGCTGCAGGTGGGTGCTGAGTATCTGTTATTTTTTACATCTTTTTTAATATATAAAATATTTTATAATTAAAATGTCAAAAAACCACTGGATCTCACCTGGGCCAGTGGTTGTCTTTGACTCAGGTTAGGCTGCCTATAGGGCAGAGGTGAACTCAGTCCCTGTGTGAACTTGTTTGGGAGAGATGAACTAGGGGAAGGGGGAGGATAGCAGTTGCTGTGTGGGCTATAAAGTTCTCTCTAAGGGCTATTAGTATCACACAGACCTTTGAGCCTCACAATGGAGGTGGTTCAGAGCACAGGCCCTGCTGCCAACATGCCACCTTGTCCTAATTGTGAACTTAGCCACTGTGTGACCTTGGCCAAGTTACCTAACCTCTCTGTACCTTAGTTACCTCATCTGTAAAATGATGATATTTCATAGGACTGATATGA